AACTCCGAAGGCAGCGGCGAACTCCGACGGCACCGGTTTGGGGGTGGTTTTCTGATGAGAGAGAGAGAGAGAGATCGGGGGATTTGGGGATTTCTGATGAGAGATAGAGCGGTTTTCTGATGATAGATGAGAGAGACGGGGTTTTTATCCTTTTTTTCGCGAAAATAAACGGGGGGAAATTTCCCTCCAAATGGATTTGGCGACGCAGATGAACAAAAGCGTCGGCAAACTTTTCGTAAATTGGGTTCTGACAGTGGCATTTTCGTAAATTATGGATTCTTTGTGAATCCTATTCTGGAGTTTGGTTCAGCAAAATTTTTTGGGATTACATCTTCTACACAGTAGCTACAGTTGTCCTTTTTTGTAGAAACCCAAATCCGAGCATTTGCTTCCGATTTGGGCGAGATTTCTGACACTTGAGCTTCCTCGTCGATTCCGATTCCTGGCTTCACGCTTTCGATCCCTAGATCTGGAATCGCTCTGCCGCTCCCGCCTCAATCGCCCTCTTCCTCGCGCCTCTGCTCCCGCGCTTCTTCGTCTACGATGATACTTGGGGTCGGGCCTCTTTCTCGAAACCCTAGCTCTTGATTTCCACGAGATTGTTGCTGGTTTTCTTGCCTTCGATTCTTGGTGATCCCTTCTGGTTGGGATCTTCTTCAACTTGGGTTGGGATCTTCTTGATTTCCACGAGCTTGAACGTCGGCATTTTCCCCTCTGCAGTAAGGTATAAAAATTTCCTCCTTTTACTTTGTCCATTTTTTCCAGTGATTTGAAAAATTTAATTTAATTTTGAAGCATATGAGAAATAGAGGCACACACAGCAATTTCAATGATTTGTTCGATTAATTTCATAATATTACAGCAAAATAATTCATGCGGGTCTCTGTGTAGTGGATTTTTTGTAAATTTGCAAGAATTAGGTTGTTAGGTACATTAATTTCATGCGGATATCCGATTTGGGCGAGATTAATTTCATAATATGTTTCAAATCAGTATTTTAAGAACTTAAATTGCTGTTTTTTTAACTTTATTTAATTTTTTTGTGTGCGTGTAAATTATTAGTGATCTAACCATATAGTTTGTTTGTTTTGGGTCTATCTTGTTTGTTTAGAATTGTGTGAGATGGAATGC